CACACACCCACACTCAAGCACGCACACACGCCAATGCACCTGCACTCACATCACCTCACAGTCATGCAGACCTACACATCAAACCGAATTCCAAATGTGGTACTTGTGCCACTTGAGGCTGCTCCATTACGACAACACATCACCAACACTGCAGCGCGAGTAATGCGACAGTCTGCCGACACCAGCGTCCTCCGTCTCACCATTTCAGCTCTCCCCGACGCCTCCCGGGCGACGTGGTGGCACAGTTGTGAGAGGACAAACCACTCCATCCTCAACTCTGTCCCACGAAATTGGTGTGTTTGTGTGCAGTGTGGACATTGTCTGCGCTGGATCGTTCGAGGTGGACGATGTAGTGCCTCAAGTTATGTTTGAGGCACTGTGTGAATTGGCGAGTGGGCATATCGTGGGGGCGCGACATATGAGCGTCAACTTTCGAACTCTAAATTTCGTGGTTTGACTATGATGTAGCTTAATAGAAACCTCCTCATATGTGCAATCTTATAACCCCATGAAAAGCAACCTCTCTCTCCTATCAAAATGGCATATCATAAGTGATTGTCCTTTAGAAGTAGGTCATTATGTCAGGACGCCTTTTGGGGTATGGCAACACGGGGTTACGTATTTTTTAGGCCAAAGAATGAAATGAAAATGCAAATGTTAAACGCAGGTATGAACAAAATGGGACTCAGACAGACGCACACACTTACACGACAAGCCAGTAGTGAAAGAAACCGTTCATCTATGTTGAGGATCGGCCCTATCCGACCAGGCTCCAATGCTGCTGTCTAAACAAAAGGGAGACTCATTAACAGGGACCAAAAAAGCCAAATAAAATGACTGCAATACAACCTGATTCAATTGAATATTTCACCTTTCAATGCAAACCAACGTTGGACAGCACTGTCTAGGCGAACACACTGCCAGACGAGGTTTGAAAAACGATACTACAATGTACGATGCTTTGAAGGCGCTTAACTACAATAATTGGCACAACAGCGCTTTGGACCACGAATTCTGATCCTCTGCCTTACATTTGAGTAAAGAATTTTACAGGAAACTAGTGCCATGAACAACTCACTCATTCCTGGTTGATTTTTCTACCAACCCGCAAACCCATTATTCACCCGTCCACTCTAGAATGAACCGAATGTTCTTTCAAACCAACCATTTGGTCAATCGAGTAAAGGGCCAACGAAAAGGGACACAGCATGACAAAAATCAAGTAGTTGAAAGGCTTACTATCATTACTAAAGTACCTCTGGTTATTTACTCCAAGTCAAGACTGGACATCACCAACCTGTTGAATGTGAAGCGAGTTGACGTAGTTCTATTCTGTTCCAAGACTACAGAACCGGATCGTATAACTAGTTATTGGTACTTAAAGAGGTCGCAGCAGCATAAAGTGCCACTGGCCCACTTTAAACCCTTACTTAGCCTCTATCCACTCCACATTTACGCCTAAGCGAAGTACTGCTTCCATCTTCAAAAGACCGTGTTTGCTTTGCTTTGCTTGTGGGACGATGTGCGTATAAATGAGATCAACCCATCCGTGAATGAAACATTCCAGCATGTTTCTTTCGTAGGTGCGTGAATAACTAAAGGCATAACAAGCCGTTCAAAGGTACTTGCGTTTAATACTTTCGGAGCCAGAAAACCTATCTCATGTGGCAGTCGCATCAGGCTTCAGATTGTTGGAAAAGAATGAACAATCATCCTGGAGAACAAATGGACAAATAGAGTACCTCCACAAATTCATACGGTCATCTCGCCTACGATTTTTGGATATCCAAAATGCGTTCTAAAAGCCGAGTATTTACCGAGAAGTAACTTCAAACAGGTAAGAGGGTAGTATCCAACACGAACGATAGCGATGCTGTACTTACGTGTTGACAGATCCTTCAAAGGTCTGATAGAGCCCTCGCTCTGCATCAAGAAAGAAGTGTCGTCATCAAATCGCGAATGTCCAAGGAGGGTCCAAAGCCACATCATTAATGAAAATGGAAGTGAATCACTGAGATTCAAGTCATACTCCTTGCTTTTCCCACCAACAGCTTTCAACAATTGCTGCTTTCGATCACACCATATCCACTTTGGTGATGAGGAAGTCGAGACTTTTAGCTAACCATGCGCACAGATACACATTCAACCAGATTTCACGATAAAACCGATGCTGCACCGTGAGGACAAGTCAGTTTTACGGTCAAACCGACGATTATAACCTATTTCAGAAATGACTCAGACACAACACTACAAACTCACGGAAACTATTAGTCCCTTTGGAGTTCTCAAATGAGACGGAGTAAAGTAAGCGCCTTTCCCACGAGTTTGGAGCAACATTTTATGACTGAGAAGTAAACGTATTACAAACGTCTTTCAAGTTTCACAAAAATACGCGATTTAAGGATGAATAGCTGTAAACACGGATGAGCCGCGGGCCTTGAACATCAAGGCTACTGATTGGAGCGTCAGTGAAAGGAGCACCAAGAAACATACCAAAGTAGAACTGGAAACATACTACAGAATAAGACATTCTTTCTATACATCGGGTTAAGGGTTGTCAAAACAAAGCAGACAATGCAACAGAACGAAAAAACTTACCTTATCTGAGTGGAGGCCAACAATGAGGTAGGTACCCAGCCGACGGCACTTTTCGAGGAATTGCACATGACCGACATCTGCACAAGGTGTAGTCAAGGTTGAAGGATAAAAATGGGCACCGATAGAGCTACCACAATGGTAACTAAAGACAGATCTGGATTTTGACTTTTACAGGCTTGAGAATGATAGATCGAGCGTCATCAAGGCATTTTGGGTACCATTAATTAAAATACGGCCATTGGTGATGATGCATACATGATGGCGACTTTCCTCGTTAGCAAGTGCGAAAGCTGTAGGTGCAAGTGTGCGAATTAAATGAGCCCGCTGAATAATGGTGCTAGCTACTATCACAAACCTCCATCTTGGTGAGGGCATTTGTATTACAACTAGAAGAGCTGTGAACACAATTCACGAATGTTTGTAAATGTGAAACTGAAGCGCGCAATGGATGCCACAAACTCTACCGGATTTGATAGGTTCAGAAGAGTAGGGAAAATCGAGGTCGCAACCTCCTACGCTAAACCATTATGTGACAGAACGTATGTGAATATGAGCAATTCCCACTTGCTTTAACCCCGATCAGTACCGAAGTACCGCCAGGAAGGGAGCAGGCTACCTAGAGAGGTTAACCGAGAAAGAAGTTCAATCTGGTTCTCTTAAAGCCCAATCTAATCTTTCATGCCTAAAAGCCTCAAATTTACCTGACTTCATTGAAATATCACTGGTCCTGGTGGACGTTAGCTAAGAGCAAACAAAGGATACGCATGAGGTCAAACGCGCCAGGAGCGTAAACCACTCGCTCGCCTGGCCTGGGAGCTCGAATTCCTTCCAGAGAAGAGCTGTTACTGACTCCAGTGCCACAGCCTGGCGACATGAATTGAGCTATGCGCAGAGCGTTCGGCATGTAGTGTGTGATGCCTGATGTATAAGTGGAAATGGAAGAAGCTTCTGGATCCTATAACGCAAAAAAAACACAATCGAGACTTGGTAAGCTACCGGCTATTTAAGCAAAGAGATTCCGTTACGTCGTAATAAGTCTTTCAGACTCAACTATTCCAACAACTCTTAAACTCACAGCCAATTAGCGCCCTATCTAGCGAGCGAAAGAAGATTTGGCTGGATCTGTAGCTTACAAACCATCCTCCCGAGCATTATTTTTAGCTTAAAAGCTAATATTGGACAAGTCCCAAAAATATAGTACGTTGTGCGACACTGCTCAGGGTTAAGTACGTGAGTTCATCACTGTCATCAAGTCTGACAGATAAAATGCCAACATGCGACTGATTTAAGGGTAGAGAAGAGAAGACGAAGAAAGTTAATCTAACAATATTCTCATCAATCCCACAATGATAATTTCGCGAAGCATCCTGCATGTGCAGAAGCCTGTTGTTAATTGCGCATTTTGAAGTTAATCCTCCAACGAAAGAAATACATTTTTTAAATGCTACTATGCTAACAACCTTGAGAGCAAAAGTACATCGAAAGGTCACAGAGAGGTGGGTAGAAGGGCACAGAGCGAGTCTCGTGAAGTTAAAGTAAACACTCCAAAACAAACAGCATAACTAAAGAATAACTTTTTTAAAAAAGAAAGGCCGCTGACTTAACACTCACACCAGAACCGTTTTCAATAATCGAGTTTCTTGCATCGCAGTGTCTGGTTGCCCGCTGGATTCTAGGGTAAAAGACAAAAAAACAATGGAAAGAAATGTCTATAGCAATCTTATCTTCTTGCCTGACCCCTGTCCCTCAAGCGTTTACTTGTTTAAAATTTCTGCCAAATAGTTGCAACAGATTTAGTTAGAAGCAAAATGACAGCTAACATTTTGATGACGAGAGTAACAACGCTTCTGTCGGGTTTTCAACGTCAAGTAGATTAAGACATTCGATAGTGACGATTTCAGCTCCACTCTTAGAATAGCCAAAGGTTAAATTCCTAGTGAGCGTTGGAAAGGTGTTGGTGTGTCCGATTGGTGGTAGTAGGCTCCCAAGGAGTTATACAAATCAAGAGAGAAATAAGAAGCTGATGACAGACGGCGGCTCGAAATGATAGAAAAAGTGCAAATGAGTGATATCGACAACAATTGTGCAATTGCACGTTATTATCCCGCTTAAACGTGCCAAACATAGCTGAGAGTAAACTCTAAGTAAAAGTGACACCCGAAAAACGTGAGCAACTCACCGGTATAAAAGGTCAGTCGTTGATATGCCTTCAGTCCGGCTGACCTCTCTGCGGAAATGAAAGCACAGAAGGTAAAGGGCAGGAATGCACAGTAACCGAACCAAATTTATCAAATATCCATGAGCCATTGAGAGCAGCTAACTCTAGCTCCATAGTTCTTGAAACACCTCTGAAGAAAGTATAGTCTCAATGATTATCGCGCCTTCAAATTATCTATTCTTGCCTTCGAAATCTCAGCTTCGAGGTAATACAGCATACCGTAATAGAGACAGCTCTGAAGAAGGAATAAGAACAACTCACGCATACTTTCCAGCCTTTTTGACGATCTCGTAGGCATCAGAACCATCTTCAGTAACAGAAATGTCATCTAAACACAGAAAAGAATCTTTACTACAGTTCAATCGACCTATCATTAACCTAACAAAACAAAGTTCTATTTAATTAAGGAAATGCACACAGCCTACTTCCATGAACGCAAAAGTCACAATTGTGTTCCTGTAAAACCTCAAGTTGGGTCATGTAGGGGGCATCTTTGACGACCTATAAGAAAAAATAAATGATTCGCTGGCGTTGAGGAATAAAACCTCACCTCATCAACCCATTTAATGGCTTTTAGCAGGATAAAACGCTCTTCCTGAGTAAACACTGGCGGTCCTTTGTGTCTTGTGATTTCCTCTAAAAAAATTACACTGGAATACCAAATTCTACCATCACTGTGAATGCCCACGACAAGATAATCACCCAAGCACTTGGCCTAGGAACTGTAGTTAGTGAGAGGAAACGGCTGAACCTGTCGAACGAGATTGGCATGCCCGAAGTGCACCATATCAAAACTATAAGGAATAGGCTATAACAAAAAATTACCATCCATCGACCCAAACACGTGTAGATCGTCGCAGCTCCATATCAACACTAGATTGTCAACACCAGAGACTGCGTAGATATATGCGAAACATTTGAAAAGGGCGTATGAACTCGCCAGCCAGTAATATCCTTGCATTCACAATAACCCCACTTGTAGGTCATTTGGGCGATTTCCGTGCCTTCATTGGATTTTGTTGCGTTGAGTAAAATTGTGAGTCAAAATAATCAGTATTAAATACAACTCATTATTTCCGAACAATTACGGAGGGCAACTATTAACGTTGGCCTATGGTATCAAAAATGAGTTTGGGACAGATGAAAAAGCATTGACATAGTAATATATACTAGTTTGTTTAAGTGTACTTCTACAGTTTAGAGACGAAAATCATCTGCATTCCATCCCCCATGCTTCTTGTAACAAACGCTTAATAAATCATTTGCAATCAACTCTCTCTTTAAGTCTGAGGTTCAAGGGCCAGAAGGTAGGCAAGTAGCTGTAAAGTCATCGCCAAAGATATCTCCGTCACACTCCTTGCTGTTTTGGTGGCTTCATAGATAAAAGGCAAGGGATGCCATCGACTATGCCTAAATAACAAGTAGATTACAGGAGCTTGGACTGGAAACACCCTGTACTAATAAGTCAAATCCAGTTTCACAAGTCCAAGTAGTATATTATGCATAAATTACCTGCATGACAGGTTTCTGTGCTCGTGGACCAGACCCGAGCAAAGCTAAAGCTCGATCCACCATCCTTCTCCTCCTCCTTTACTACACGCATTTCAGCTCCATTTAATGCCTTCTTCTACCTTGTGGGAGGTTTCCGCACACCACGCTGGTAGCAGCGGAAGGCGAATATGACTCCTCCCTTTACGACTTTCACCCCAATGGTCACCTCTTGAGACACACATGGTGCGAAGGAAGCGACTATAATTCGGGTGGACTTCAACTTCTTCATCTTCTTCACAACAGAAGAATTGAGAATGACAGGCTGTCAACAACTGAAGGAACATTGCCGTGGACCACTTACAATGGCATCATCTCGGAACTCCTTCTACCACACCAGCTTATCGATGTCGAAGATGACATCACGCCGTAATTCCTTCCATACGGAGCTGTGTTGATACCCTTTGCGCTGTTACGCAACTGCTGTTGACTAGTGTTTCGGTGTCTCTCCTTGGACATGATTGATGGTCAACAGAAGCATGCGCTCTGACACCTGCTCCTAGACCGAGCGTAACTATGGCTTCAGTTGAAACTGCTGAGAAGTCCACGTGCTGTTCCTCAGTCTCAGGGCAGCTAATGCCAGGATCGGATGGCTTGTGGATGTCTCCTTCTGGCACTGGATGTGTTGTGATGGCTGACGCGAGAGGTGTAAGGGGGACGTCGACCAAGAAAGGGAGTTGGCACTGTAATGCATTGGCTATGTGATCACCCTTGTTATTTGTCGTGCTCCTGTACGTTGGCGCTGACCGTTGGACCTCTTGAAGATACGCATTCAGCCCAACTTGATGCCTTCTACCACCCAATGGAAGTCTCCGAGCCTAGCAATATTAATAGCTTTCTACGCGTAATGCTTTGTTTATGTGATAATCTGAAGTTTGCTCTCCCTTTAAGATTTGTCTGATACTTGTATGCCTGAGCTGGCCTCCGGTCAATGCTTTTTTCTACTTGGAATACATGTATCCTGCTCCACTAAATGTTTCTTCTACAATCGGAAAGTCTCGGAACACTACACTGCTAACTTTATTATCCTTTTGTGGCTCTATCAAAACAGGTTGGAATACTGATACAGCGTGTTAAGTGTAATGCTTTGTTTATGTTACTACCTGATGTTTGGCGGTCACTTGTTCACTTGGCTGGCCTTCGGGCCATGCTCAAGCCCATTTGTATTCAGCTGCAGTTATTGATCTCTTAAAATCGTAACGGAGTCTCGGAACGCTACACTAAGTAGTACTTAATCAGGAGTCTGCGCTAAGTCCGTTGCCACCAGCAGTGTCCCTATGGCATAAAGGGGAAAGGCATTATAAATGCAAAAGACTAATTTGTATAAATCAAAACAAAGCGGACAAAATTAAAGAAATTTTTGTCCGCTGAATTATGTGAGCTAATGTTTACTGATTTGGCAAAATAATCTGTGTTGTTCCAAAATTTATTCGTTTTGTTTTCACCCGAGAATCTGCATTTTTGTTGATAGTTACATCTATCCGCCAGCTTGGTCCATGAAATGTAAAATAATGCTATTTTGATAAGAATAGTCTATTTTCTCATTTCATAGGCTGAGGAAAAGTCGACGATATCTGCTTAAAGGTAGAGATCTAGGTCCGACTGGCCTGCGTACTCACATCTTTGGTGATAATGTGCTCTGAAAGGAATGGGGACGAGTTTATTCAGGTCACTTTGCTTTTTTTTACGTGCCTTACTGCAAACCAGCACTGATACACGGTGTGCTCGGTTTTGTTCCCCATTGTTTTCATTTTCGTTTCTCTGCCTTGAGCATCCTTGGTATCTCTGAATGCACCCATTTTATGCGTTGACAACCAGTTTCCTTTGACACAATGGCTTTGAGGAATCGATTACCATAGGGTATCTATAAGATTATGAAAGCCTTCTTGGATTTATGTTTTCGTGCTAGTTAATTCATTTAATTTATTAACGCGAAGATGCCATCTAAATTGGTAAATTGCGGGACTACTGTCATAGAGCAGCTGACTTTCCTTACTTTAATCCATTTCGCTCATTCTGAGTTTGGAGGAGAGATTATCTTTCTGCTAATAATTCTTTCCCATTGCTCTTAACCGCCATGGGTATTTAAAGTTCTTTTTATTCTTGTTTCCTCAGATTGACGTCTCTACTGACGAAGACGCATCAGGAGTACTTTCGTCTCTACCAGGTTCGTCATTCCCATCTCAACAGCTTCAATTAGAAGAAACATCAGGTGAAACCGAGGTGTTTCCCCGTGTTTTGGCTTCTACGTCTCCACCCTCCGTCCCACCCCCCGATATTCAAACTCTCATCGTTGACGAAGTGACCCAAGGTGACACAGATGACGATGACGATTCTGATTTTGAGGATGAGACACTGGTGGAACGCCTTATTGGTCTCACTGAAATGTTTCCTGAATGGCTGCGCTCCGCGGCATCATCTATCTTTGATGGAACGGTAGGGGTGATGCGTGGCGCCTACTCTCTGTCACGCTCTTCTGCTTGGTTCGCCGCCTCCGTTATGACCGTGTGTATGCTGCCTCTAATGTTGGAGCTGGAACGTAACCAGATGGAGGAACAGGAAGCCTCGGAGCATCGATCCATGATGCTCGGACCGGGAGGGGCGGGACCTCAGGGCTTAGCGGGATTCCAGGCCAACATGCCGGTGTTAAGCCCGGCTGTTGCGAAGTGAAGAGGAGTGAAATATGTGCATCTTAGAACCAATGAATATTTCTGATTTGATACCCATAACCTCGGGTTCATAAGTATGTCTCCTGAGAGGTGTCAGTTATTATGTCATCTAGGATAAAGTGGTCTTTTGTGTACTTCGCACAAGAACGCCGGGTCGATGTTGCTGTCTTCGTAATGCGATGTGGCCAGGAGGGAATGGAAATCTTAGGAAGTAGATAATTTCTCGTTCAGACTGAAAGCGTTGACTATGGCTTTGTTTCACGTGGTGCACGGAATGCCAACCATCTTGTTGTTCTATTCACTCAGTCTTAGTGGCCGTCCACTTTGCTCACTTAATCAGTTTCCCTTCGAAAAAATGAGACTATGACTATGGCTCCTATTCTCTGTTTCACAGTTGAGCCCCGGTTGTTGGTGCAGGGCCATCCAAGGTGTTTCCTATCGAGGGTGTTACTGCAGCATGTCCTGATGCTGGACATCTCCGTGCTATCAATACAGTAGGTTTGCAGTCCGTGTTCTTGTTTGAGGATAGAAACCGGTTACAATGCCTCACAATTACTCCCTGCTTACTTTTAACCTGGTTTGAACCACTACATCGCACCCAAACTGAGCCGGAAGAGGAAATAGTCTTTAACTCGAGCCCTCGCATTTGACCGAGAAAATGCCATTGTTAGAATGGACCTCTCCCTACACAAGGAGCCTTGTTTGTTGGGCTAGTTAGCATAACCGAGTTGTTCAATCGACAATCTGAGTTCTTTGATGAGACTATTGGCTATCCTAAAAGCTTCGAGTCAGAATATTCGCGTCGGGTGCGTACAACTGCACTAACTGCTCGAGAGCCGGAGGGTAATACTCATTGGGAAGGATTGTTGCCTAGGGAAGTGCAGCCCTGATTGGTGGATGGGTGGCTAGACCTCCAGCCGGTGTAGAGGCTGTTCTGTTTTGTCCATGCTTTCTTCGTAAAATCCAACGTCCGAACTTGGAAGTCCCGCATGCCTTTTAATTGCTTCAACATGTTAATTTTGCTAACGATTTGCCACCTCTTACCACAAACACTGGCGGTGCAGTGACCTACCGAACCACTCCTATCCGAAACAAATTAGCCCATGGCAGAGTATGTTCACATTAAACTGAAGTCTATGGGCTGTAATGTTCAGCTTGTTAATTTCATCGTATGTTTTGTCGGAACCCAAAGCTTCGTCTCCAAACCCTCTCTGAGTGGTGCGGCTACTTTGGTGGAATTCCAGCCTCTCTGCTCGTGGACACATTCTCTAGAGCAATGTCGTTCTTAAGGAAAGGAAACCGTTTAGGTTCCTGCAACTGACCTGTTAGTTCTTTCTTCCACCTCGAACTCCACTTAGCAGGAGCAGATGGCATAGTCTAGAAGTCAGGTCAAAACTAGCTAGCTAGTTTTTTAGTTCGCTCGTAGAACAGGGACATCAACCGTCGAAAGGACGAAATAAAAAAAAACAACCAAGCGTTCGCATGCTGGGAGATTTTATCAAAAGTCAATGATATCAAGCAAGGTAGAAATGTTACCAACAACCGAGGGAGTAAACTAACAAGCTGAAACACTTTTAAAAAATAGAAAAGTAACTCCTCAAATAGGAAGTGTTGAGAACAGACGTTTCGTCTCATCGGGGCGCAATCGCGATCGGCGTATTCACTGTGTTGTAACTGCGTCGTCGCTTGCTCGGTATGGGTGAATCTGTAGATTCCTGACTCAGTATCTGAATAAAACAAGTCACACAAATTGGGGTAAAAGTGGTAGTCAAGACAAATAACAATAAAGCTACTCAAATACTTACTTCAAAAAAACATGCAAGAACATATCCAGATTAACCAGCAAAAATGCAAATACCAAGATGTGATTTCTTACGCTCATATTGTTTGTGATTTGCATCTCTTCTACAGTAGATGTGAGACCGCCAATCTAAAGACGGAGTGATGACAAAGGAAAGTGGAGAAAAGAATGCCGCCCATGTTAACTAATGGAGAATTCTCGTCAATTATTCGCTTACATCTACAGACTTCCCACGCTTTCCCCTCATCGATGTGGCGCCGTTTTCCGACCGACTTAGATCGTCAGCCTTTGAGCCAGGAAATAAAATAGATAATGATGGAAGTGCAGCATTGGTGAAGGCTGATAGTGGAACCTACCTCTAGTTCGGGTGTCACACATGCAGGCGAGAAGATACGAGGCACAAGCACGGCCTCAACATGCGCCTTCAGAACGGCCTTATTACCACTTGTAAAAAGACCAACACACAAGCATTTAATAAGAAAATTGAGGCGAGAAAGGTTGACATTGTACAGACATACCTTCTCCCACGCACATCCTTCAAAGCACCCTCGTCTAACAGTTTGTTTAGAAGACCCTTTGCCACATTTACCTCAACCGACAGTCTCTTCGCAATCAAGCCAACTGAGAGAACATCGTTTTCGATACATAGTAGAATAGCACGACGGAGAAGGCAAATTGACTAGAAAAAGAGAAAAACCGTAGCATTAACCATCACAATTTCAACTCCTATGAAGAGGTGAACAATACTTTGGCCTCCTCTTCTGTTAACTGCATAAGAGTTGGATCGGTCTTGCTGCCAGACTCGAGCAGATGCGACTAAAAATTATAAGACCGAAATATATGAGTAATCAAGCAGAAGGTCAAGAGTGAAATGAATCAGCAGAGGAAAGTGGCAAACCTTAACTTTGGCACAGGCATTACACAGATGCGACTGAGGAATGTCGGCGTCATCAATTATGCGAAAACAGACAGCGTGCTGCCACTTCTCACAGCCGTCGCAGAGAATCATGACTCCGTCATCCTGAACACGATTGAAGAGTAAAGCAACAGAAATACCCTACCAGGTTGACGCCACACGGACAAGCGACCTCAAATTCTTCCTCCGCCTGTTCTTCTGCCTCTAACTGTGTCGGCTGATAAGTCGAACGGGGAGTGTGGCAAATATTTGAACTCTTTATTGTGATTACGTGCGAAGGTTGTGACTTTGCTTTGGACTAGGTATTATTAAAAGTGTATTAATTTTAGGTAGCACTTTTGGATTGCAAAAACGGTGAAGGAGTTAGCTCTACCTTTACCACTTCCATTGCGGTCTTTAGCTTCTCGGGAGGAGCAGTTATTAGACTTGGAATAGTATGAATGATCATACGCACACTATGGAAGCTCTAAAGGCGGTTAAAAAGGTGTTGAACTTACGGTGTCGACTACACCGATCTTAAGGTTGATAGGATCACTTTGGAAGATCACTTCTGGATTCTCGTCGATTTTAAAACCATTGGGCATGTAATCACTAGGAGCAGCTTTAAAAAAGCCGAAGGTCGGATTGCCGTACAACATGCAATAACAGAGAAAGTGAATAGATAAATTTCCAGAATAGCTATTCACCTATTGTGACAGGAACTTTAGGGTGACAAATGGCTCTGCTAAGAAGATGATGACCAGAACACTACAAGAAGACAGACGGCAATCGAACCCGTATCAGTCCTTCAGCCACTTATCCAACATCCTTCTGCATATATTACGCAAAACATAACAAGCAGAAAACTCAACACTTACAATTGTAATACTGTAGTTTCATTGTCAGCATCATTTTCTTCGGAAGCGGTCCAAGCATCTTCCCTGCTGCCAAGATGGTATTGAGCAAATTCTTCGTTTGCACTTTTATTCTTTCATCCCTAGGGAGGGTAGATACAGACTTTGTAGAACTAGTTTTCATTTGAAAAGATGTATCAGCGTACCTTAAGGACTCCGCTTCCATTGCCATGGAAGCCCCATCTTTATCATCGTATCGGAATGTGAATGAAAACGATTCCATTATGGTCTAAATGGAGCAATTAAGGCAAAAATAAGGCGAGCCTTTGGATCACTCGGGTTCTCATAGAGGACAAGAGTCGCCTTCCGGAGCTTAAAAAGCTAAGTATTGTAAGAATCTTACGTATCGCTTTTCAATTGCGTCAAAGCATCCACGGAGCCAAAACACAACTTTGCAAGTTCCAGGGCATGAGATCTCCTCCTTCAGTATTTTTAAGCTTATTCCTAAAATTTGATTTGATTCAGTTCAATCAAACCTTCAATATTTTTGTCGAAGAAGGCGTTGACAGGGAAGAGCTTTCGAACAAATGCAACATTCGAGACAGCAACAGCAAATAGTTTCTTCACAAAAACAAGGGACAATGTCTCTGTATTTATTTGCAGAGGAAATGTTTTTTGCCACTTAAAAAATCATGGAATAACAGAGGTACCTGTCTAGTTGTTACTTTCTGTGTCGCAGCTACGGGCATCTCAGCAACAACGTGTTATCGTTAACGAAAGGTGAGTCGAACAAAACAATGAAGGCCACGAGTTTATCCACTACAACGCTTTTTTGTGATTTTCCTGGCAGCTTAATAATGTGTGCGCGTTACTGTACATGTATGATACAAGTTTCTCATAATGATAAATATCTATGACCTGTTCAAGTGTTAGAACGCTTACATAACTTGTCGACAAAACAAGTAGATGATTATTTGGGTCTAGTTTACGCTATTAGTGACTGAAGTCTAACCCGTCTTATAGTTTTCGTAAAATAAATTAATTGCAACAGCGCACACGCTAGTTCAAATGTACGGGTAGAGTGTAAGCCCTCCCAGCATACTCCCAGAACCCGAACCTCTGATTTCATAAGAGAGTGGGTTTGGGAAATGAAAGAAAAGTGTTGATTAGACAATAATTCAACGCCACCCCAAGGATGGCTCCGCGTTCCTCATCCACGAGACTTGTTTTCGTATCGCTTAACCGCTTCTCTACATAGAGGCAACTTAAACACACTGGTGACCATCTGGCCTCTGTCGTTCGGACTGGCCCCTGAGCTATGTCAAGGCACAACAGCTTCCATTTGTTTACAATACCAGCGTTCAATCATCCCTCATGCTTCCTATTATTCCAATGGAAGGTCTCGAGACGCTTCAGTGTGAAGAGCATGCAGTGATAAGAGAAGACATTTAACCTTGACATCGTTTGTGCATTCGTTCGATAGACAATAGGCTGAGCTTTTAGCATGACAGCGAAGTCAGCCAGCCGGTAGTCAGGCAAACAAAATACTACGCACTTGGCTACACCTGCTTTCTGCCTGACAAGCGTCTCAAAGTCGTGCCGCCTTCGAGACAGTTCATCCCACAGTTGCACAAAATATCATGTGAGTATAAAACAGAAGGAAATGGAGGGTGTTTATTCATGGCCCGAACCAGAATGGTTGTTTTCGGCTGTAATGTTTTGTGTGACACCCTGACGAATGACAGTCACTTTAGGATTTGCCTGGCCCTTGTACTTGTGGGCTGGCTTTCGGGCCATGCTCAGACCCATTTGTTCTGTTCTCTTCGTAATGCATGCATCCAGCCTCACCCTATGGGAAGTCCCGGGATGCTATATCGGTAAGTACGAAAGCTCTACTAAATGCTCGCCTCCGACGGACGAGATACATTTACACGACTCGTGCACATTGCATTCTAACAATCGAATTTAACATCATTAGAAAGCAATATTTCAAAAATATCTTGTCATTATTTAAAAAATTTGACAAAAGGTGAATCGAATTCTTAATTCCGAAATACAATGAATATATCAAGAGTACCCTGAAGGTTGGGACTATTTGTGGGAGGTTTCTGCCTTAATGGACAAGAATGCGACAGCCAATTTAGTGAACCCACACTGAAACTGAGTGTAAAAAGTGCAAACACAATACAAAATAGTGCTCTCCATATCAAGTGTTATTAGCCTTGCACTCCTCATCCACCATCACAATATTATCCTCAGTGAAATAAAACGGTTCCAAATCATCCAAGTTAGTCAACAAATTTCTACACAACAGAAGTGGTGCACGGCCAAAACATTACTGCAATTTGAACAATGGTTAGAGGTCCGAATTTTGGTTTGGTTTGATGGGTGAATTTATCGATAGGAAAGTTGCTTTGACTTTGGCACCTGACCTTAGCTAAAACAAGTGCTCCATCGACTGATCTTATGTCTTATGTTACCTATCCTCACATGGAAAGTGGAATAAAATACGTATCTGGGTTTCATTAGGTAGGAAATGTGGCGTGATTGTAGAGGACAGTTGTTACTTTTGATGCATAGGATATGAGTTGCAAACGACTTTCTAACTTGCATTATGTTGATCTTCGCCCCAGAAGGTGAATTATCCGGTTCTAGAGTGATAGTTCTTGTTTTAGGCTAGTTGTATGAGTGATGGCTACTTTTGCAGTCAAATTGCTACTGTTGGGCAGACTTGCAATCGGTACACATAAAGCATAAAAGTCCTAGACCTCCCACTGCGTAGTAGAAGGTATCAAGTTGGGCTGAATGCGTATATTCAAGAGGTCCAACGGTCAGCGCCAACGTACAGGAGCACGACAAATAACAAGGGTGATCACGTAGCCAATGCATTACAGTGCCAACTCCCTTTCTTGGTCGTCGTCCTCCTTACACCTCTCGCGTCAGCCATCACAACACATCCAGTGCCAGAAGGAGACATCCACAAGCCATCCCATCCTGGCATTAGCTGCTCTGAGACTGAGGAACAGCACGTGGACTTCTCAGCAGCTTCAACTGAAGCCATAGTTACGCTCGGTCTAGGAGCAGGTGTCAGAGCGCATGCTTCTGTTGGCCATCAATCATGTCCAGGGAGAAACACCGAAACACTAGTCAACAGCAGTTGCGTAACAGCGCAAAGGGTATCAATACAGCTCCGTATGGAAGGAATTACGGCGTGATGTCATCTTCGACATCGATAAGCTGGTGTGGTAGAAGGAGTTCCGAGATGATGCCATTGTAAGTGGTCCACGGCAATGTTCCTTCAGTTGTTGACAGCCTGTCATTCTCAATTCTTCTGTTGTGAAGAAGATGAAGAAGTTGAAGTCCACCCGAATTATAGTCGCTTCCTTCGCACCATGTGTGTCTCAAGAGGTGACCATTGGGGTGAAAGTCGTAAAGGGAGGAGTCATATTCGCCTTCCGCTGCTACCAGCGTGGTGTGCGGAAACCTCCCACAAGGTAGAAGAAGGCATTAAATGGAGCTATGGTTTTGCTCGGGGCACAGGAGCGAGATAATTGCCAAAAATGACCTCTAGTCATACAGGTGGACAAATTAAAAAGCTGTTACATGAAGACTCCATCTCTTTCCATTCTTTCGCCTCATGCAAACATCCAACCGAGAATCATACCCATCATTGCTCAATAGTGCATCTTGAGATGCAACACTTGTGGCAGTGGAAAGCGCAAAAGACCTCGTTACAACTGTCGTTCTGCCTCACAACGTCTGCGATAAACCTTGTAGCCTACGCATACGTGTTTGCAATGGCTTTAGTGAATTTTTACATTTCCTATTAAGAAACTTGTAATACTTTGTTTATGTGAATATCTGACATTTGGCGGTCACTTTCGGATCTGTCTGGCCCTTGTACTTTTGGGCTGGCCTTCGAGCCATGCTCAGGCCCATTTACTCTTCTCTCTTTGGAATACATGTGTCCAGCCTCACTCACCCTATGAGAAGTCTTGGGGCTTTAGGTATCTGTTTAGCAAACTTTCACCCCGCTCCCAAAATCATTAAAATCAGGGTTGTAAGAATATGTTTGCTCTTAAAAAAGTCATAGAGCATGGCTAAAGACATACAAGCTAAAAAGGAAAATGATAATGGGTAGGCGCATACTAACAACAGTTCTAGGTGCGTATCCTCGAGCTTGTCCATTACAAAGTTCGAGTTGACTTCCGTCCATGGTCCTGAACTAAATAATTTAACCAATAAGCTTGCATTATAGTTTAAGGTCAGTTAAATTATACTTACCCCTGGACACTTGGCGGTTAGCAACATTCTTGGACTACAAATACCGTTATATATACATATCATTGCCGGCCACGCCAATGTCCTCTTCATCCTCCTCGTAAAACCCATAAAATTGGACTCAAATTTATGCCTTCGTTGTCATAGTGGGAAGTATTAAGGAGACAAAATTGATAAGTCTTAGGACGCTACATGTGGCAACGTCCAGATTTTTTCCAGTTATCTGGCTCGGCAACGATTCTTTTTTACAAAAGAAAGTACACAAAGCCGAAATTGTTTGAATAAACTTCTATGAAGCACTCCAAGACTACCTACTTAGTGGGAAGCAGTGAATTGGTTTAATACATATTTTTTTGGGAGGATAAGAATAAAATGAGCCTAATATGGTCCGAAGGTCAGCCCAGGAATCCAAGGTCATGGCAAAAATCAAGGTCGTATTTAGATATCGGTTAGTTGCATGAATAAAGCATTTGAATCCGCATATGTAGGACCTACCGCTTACCTTTAGACATTTGATCCTCGGATTTTTGGATAGGGTTAGATAAGAAACCTTTATTGGATGTCATGTGCAGAAAGGCAGGGAACAGAGGAATTTATGAGACGGGAAGCCGATGTTTCACTGAGAACGCCTTTTCGAGCGCATAATGAATTGGTTACATTTTCGAGTTGCTTTTTCCTCCTTTTTCATGTAAAAGCATTGTACTGCATTGTACTGTATTGCACTGTGCACTGATAGGACTGATATGTATATGTGATGATTTGTTTAAGGTTAATCAATCTTGGCACAGATGATGCGCCTGAAGTATGCGAAGACACCGATCGCAGTTTATCAACATCCCCACTCCTTTTCTATTCTGTTGAGGATGGCCGATGGCCTGCCGAAGCATTCAACGCTCGGAGAGTGATTCAAATGAGCGAGTACACGGTACATCAATTCGACATGATACCCTTCTTTTTTGGCATCTTAACGATTTCTCCTGCTTTGTGTACTTTTTAGAAGATGCAATCGTTGTTTTAGACTGACGAAAAGTTAAAAAGGCGGTATTGTAAAAATCACAATATAACATTCTGACATAAATTTATATTTCATTGAGATTCCTTAGCTTTAAAAATTCTCATTGTGCGGTATGCAATAAAAATACCTAACTAACAAAAATATTCGCCAGTTGCAAATCAATCAAATTAATTTTGTTTAGATGCATCAGCATCTTGGTATTTGTCGAAGTCTGCCATTTATAGGGCTGTTTTAATCCGTACTTGCAGAGCTCGGACATCTGCACGATAATAATGGCTGATAATGGTGCTCATGATCCAGGAAGAGGTTATGTAGGGAATTGCACCGTTCTTGAAGAGGTCGAGAACCATGTGCCTACGGACGAAGAAGTTCGAATGTACGCGAAGGCCATTGGCATTGATCCTGATAAGGAGGCAGATTTGTTATATATTGCGCGTGAAGGTATTTCCGCCCCAGTTCCTAGTGATTGGATAGTTCTACAGGTGCTTTTATTGCTTTTTTCCCGGCACTGTCTTAGGATTTCTCGGGTTTTAAAATTAGTCTTGTTTGTTATTTTTCCAAATGATTTATCATTAACATGAAGTTTGTTGTCGTAACTGGTCTTGTTAATAGCATAGAAACGTCCTATATTAGCTTGCTCGTTCACTGTCCGTCTGATTTCAGGATCGAAAAGGAGGGATTTTTTACCAGCATAAGCCGTCTGGGGTCTGTATATGGGAACATCCACTAGATGCTCAATTTCGCCTTCGAGTAGTGGAAGCCAAATCTAAAAAGTTGAACTGTCAAAAAGGTAAGTTGTAAAGTCTTTCATTGTATCGGAAAGGCTTCAGTAAATGTAAAATTTTGGGTTCTAATGTGGCGTTTTGCTTTTATCGTTTAATTTCAAAATCTAGTTGCTTCGTCATATCTTGTGTCTTTAGTAAAGTCTGGTGAATCAGCCCCTGCTCTGAACGAATCGACTCCAGTGAAAACGGAGACTGTATACCAGGCCTTACCGACGCCTCGAACTTGTCTGAACGCCAAGGTCGGCGAATTCAAAGTTCCCAGCCTCCCTCAGAAAACGGCCAACGGTCTCAACACCAATCTTCATTCTACAGAGGTGGATAGTCCCTCCACTTCTGTTTCCGAACGTAGTTTCTCCGCCTTCAATTTGCCTCATGTAAATCTCTCACCCACTTGTACTTCAAGGCAACGCAAGGCATTTTCGGAAATCAATGCAAACAATGGGACTTCCTTTACCAAAGCGAGCAGTCAGAGGTCTCATGACACAGACGAGAACGCCTACCCAGCTGCATCGACTGACGCGTTGGTTAATCTTGCTGACCGATTTACTAGTGCGGTGCGTATCTCTGTCCCATCACGGAATCAGTCGGAACGACATCGGAGATACAGTAACACCAACTCTGTCCGTCGTCTCTTTTATGTTCCTGACGGAGACGTTACTTCGTGTCTTTATTCTCCACCCGAGAGTCCCAAACCACGTCCTCGTCATCACTGTGGTGATAAAGTTCGCCCCCGTACTACTGAGACACCGGTGAAGCCCGAAATGTTGGCGTCACCAGCTGGAAAAATGATGGTGGAGCTTGATGGAAATCTCAGCGTGCAGTATCTATTAGAGGAGCAAAAGCGGTTGCATGAGAAAATAGCCTTTTTGAAGGTGAGTTGGCTCAGAATGTCAATAGGGCCATAATACTTGTAACCATCATACTAAGGGGGACGAATAGCATTGTGATCTTTATTTCGTATCACAATGTAGTTAGATTTGCCTAGTCCATGCTTAAACACCTAGCCTTTCAGTACCAAAATTGCGTTTGTAACTTCCCCTAGCTCAATATGACAATCATTGTTGATTAAGGTTTGACGCTTGACACTATTGGATTTAGTAGTGGGAAGTTGAATGCACTTTATTTTTAAACTTGGCAAACTGAATGGTGGCATTGTTATTGATTTTCTGGGTCGTGACCTGAAGGAACACCCAGACGGCCATGTAACGTCTTGTAATGAGGCCTCGTTACTACTCCCACGTGATGTATTGACCTTTTTCCAGGGGCTTATTTTCGGCACACGTCTGACGCTAGGCGTGACTCATCTGACTTGACACGATACATTAGCGTTATTCAAACGCGTCACGCAGCTCCATCAGGTCAAGATAACGCCAAAACTTCAGTCCTTTTCCCAACCAAACTGTAAGGATGTCATCTTCAACACTGATTTGTAGTCATCAATACGAAAGGATTCATGTTTTTGAAGTGGTGGATAGCATTGGCGGCGATAAAATGGGTGTTTGTGCTACTCGTGCTATAGGTCACATACAAGGCATACAAGCTACGGTTGGCAAATGTCAATGCCAGCATCAAGATGATTCAGTCCACGGCGGCCGCTGCTGCCGTTGCTTCCTCACCTACTTTCCAATCTCATTCCGCTGTCATTGACGCTAGTGGTAGTGGTTTTCGCGCTTCGCCCTCAAATCACTCCAACTCTATTGCCAATTCAGCTCCGCTGAGGCCAGAGTCAACGCGACGTCTCACTGCTGAGAGCAGCAGACAAAATAGAGAAATGCGGCAACACCACGGCAGTAGGAGGCAACGTGCGCGTTCTATCCAAAATGGTGCTGCTGGCACGAATTCCCGCAGCAATGTGTAAATGTCTCATCCTTCACTATGTATTGTGCTACTCAGTTTACCTTCCCTGAACCGAATTTGCCTTTTTGATGCAACAAATCTCTCTGTAAGCAAAAGAGCGATGCATGGAATCGTATCCAAATGGAAGAATCTTTTATTCTTAGGGAAACTAGGAAGAATCTAATCTTTAGTATTTGCTTTACCTAACATTGGCTTATGACGAATATTTTTTGTTAAAATGAAGAGAACGCGAGAATGTCAAGTGAAAGAGGTATACAAAAGTGTGAATGTTTCTCGGAGGTAGTTGTTTGGACCGCTAGATCATGAATGACTGTGGTTGTTTGAACAGTGTGACCTCGTACGGTAGGTCACTTCGAGGAGTAAATGACGAAGTTGATTTGATTACCAAGTGGGAGTTCGGAAGGTGAGTGAAAGTACGATGCATGGGTGTGGGTGCACGCTATTTCTGTCACTCGCACTTTATTTGGCTAATTGGATGCGCAGATATTGCACTAACCTGCTTGTATTGATGCTAGTGTTTTGTTGACTCACAAAAGGAAAACCCTAAAATCTCGATAGAATTGAGCGTCTAGTTGACTTCGCTTAGGGGCTGAGTACTCGCTTCCATTTGGTTGTCTGTACTTCAGGTGAGTGCTTAATATCGCCTTAAGTCAATGCCTGCTTCAAGAAGTTGTTGACTGGTTTGTCATCCTAAGCCTCCTCCAATTGGGAGTGCTTGTACCTATTCAACTCCCACACGAAATTAGCATCTACCTTCGACTTTTTATTATAAGTTACGATGTCGAGTTGCCTATTCTTGAAGGGATGAAATCGGTGAGTAGTGCATAGATGACGGACAGTGGAGATGATCTTCATGTCAATGCCGAGGGTCAGCTACAGAACTCACGAACTATGATGAGTAACAAATTTGGATTCTAGGCCCTGTATCCAGCACTACTGAAGAGATATAAGGCTTTAATGATCAAAGCTAAGTGACCATAAAAAGAATCATTTATTGTTCTCTTTGGGGGAGAGGGAGGAAAATGCTCCTGCCACTCGTCTAAGTTACACTTTGCAGTCAATGTTCAAATCTCGTACAAATGGTACAGTCTAAGGTGTTCCGTCAACTCAGCCGAACGTTTGTAAAACCTTCCACAGTGGTGACAAAATCTGGAAATGTGAAGTTGGAGCCGCCCATAGGTAAAGCACCAAAATTTGCAGAAAGGACAGTGGTACAAGAATAGTTGATCCTCCTCCTTTAAGTTCCGTAGATCTGTGAAGAGCATTGGAAGACCACAGAGAGGTTCTAATCTGTGGCGATGTTGCCGATAGGCATTACAGGAGGTAAAGAGTCGCCGACAGTAGGGACATCGGTGAAGCGAGTGCCTTCGCATTCCTTGCTACTCGTACTACTTAGTGTGAATGTGTTTGGGCAAGCGTCGTAATGGCATTGAAATACTAACCTATGACCAATAGAAAGGGAGCGATGTTCTGAGCAAGAGGTGTCTACAACTCTGATTGGTTAATAGTGGTGCCATCGTCCTTGTACGTGATTTGCTCATGGTTGAGTTGACTAGGATGCGAGCTAGCTGATCTTAGCATCAATATGCGAACCGACAAACCGACTATTTTTCCTGCATTTCGAGATAAGGCAGTTTTGCCTTCCACTGACTAATGAGTGTGACTATGTTCTGCTCAATGTTATCTGCCTCTCTTACTGATCATCTAACTGGTTTCCCTTAGTAGCCTAAATAACTTCACGATAAAGTAATTATTGGACTGAGAAAGGAAACGAATGCTTTAGGGACTGAGTCGACAAGCTCTGTACGCATAAAAGATGAACTCCTAGACATCAAGTCGAATTATCTCACCTTAAAACTAAATCTTAGCGGTGTCTGTAATAGGCAGTACTTTCCGATTGTCTGCACATGTTGCTGTCCCATGGGAGGTCATATTGCACCTGCGGGATGACCTACCCTTCAAGCCAAGCTAAAGACATTAATTTATCTAAATCCTCTTCAATCAATAACTTGTTGGGGGACCTAAAGAGGCTACGACAAGTTTTAGGGTCGTCAGGTTCTTGTGTCAACTGTCAATCAATCCCTCGCGAATTTCCATTATGCTAAGTTTCAAGATGCTATTTCTGTGATAGCGGAAAGTAAAGCTGACTTTGCACCTAACTTTTTCTCGGATTCCACGGTTTACAACAGACTTTGCGGAGGAAATGAATTTAAAATGTCGTCTGTCATTGGTATCGGCCTCATCTCCATGTTCCTCAGTCAATATTATCGACAAAAGAAGCGAACCTACCGTAGCACATTTAAAGATATTGGAAATGAATGATTGAAATGTGAAATTGCCTGAAGTCTATTATTCACTGCTGTGTTAAATTCTGTGTTTTCCATCGCAAATTTGTTTTAAATCAAGGCTTTAACATTGATGCCACAGTAGACGTGTTGGTAGGGCATGCTTGCGTCAAGTATAACTGTTCCCAACCCGGCCAAAGTTGCACGTTAAAATGAGCGTAATGGAGATATCGCGGTCACGTACCTCCCCTCGGTCAGTCACATACGTGTGCAAGGCTAGTGCGACTGGCCTGAGTCTTTTTTGCGGCACTGACTACATTGTGAGGGCTGACACAGGAGGTCTATCGCGGATGCGGATCAACAGAAGTGAGGCCCTTCGTACCACATTGTTTCTGCCCGTAAAGTGACTCGCAACCCTTATCGCACTTCACCTCTTTCCTTTCTGCCTAGCGCGTTGTAGACTATTCCATACTTTTAGAGCATTAAATAGCACCTCATCGTCATAATTCTCCTCCCACACTTTACGAGTCAGGAGCTTCAAAGCAAGGGAAAGGAAATGCGATGCCAATACCCTGCCCTCTAGTGGTCAATCTAAAGTAAGTCAGTGTTGTGGATTATGTGTTCACTAGTCTGACTACCGGTTAGCATGATATCGTTGTACCTAACCAACTATCTTGCTCGAATTTAGGTTAAATCGACTCGGACAATATCAACCAGTTCGAGACGCAGACCATCTTCAGTTTTAGAACGAGTTTCTCTTCCTACTACTTGATAATGTCTACTTAAGCGTCATGGTCGGCCGTTTGTCATAACTCAAGCTCACCACCGACTCCAAACCACGTACACACACTACTATAGTTGCAAGAGGTTTTTTCTAAGGCTTTGAATGGTTTATACAGCACTTGGAACACAAGTAGAGCGGTGAAGAGGTGATTGTGCCGTAAAGCATTATTTTCTGGGACAAACTACACGATGCTTTTTGGGATCGCTTAAGTCTGATTGTTTGAGGGAGAAGTGTGGATCTGACTGCTCGATCCTGTTCACTGTGGCGTCACTATTGAAACGTTCTCCCGAAAAACCTGTCCATTCATTTAGCGAGAATAGGGTTCAAATGGAATGAAACCAACGCCAAAACTGTTATCCACCGCATTTGGATACGTTGATGAACAACATTTAGAAGGGAAACACAATCTCATAACGGGGTTTGGGAGTAGCAAGCGGCTCTCCGTACAAGTGACCAAATGTATCTGCATGAAATAATGGGTGGAAATCTGACTTCAAACCCACCTGGGCTAGCATACGTAAAGTAAATGCGTCAGTATTGAGGACCAAAGTTAACTGACAGAATCCTGTTCAGTTGGGTGTAAGGGAATTTGCACTTCATAGGGAGTTTGAATATAAAATCTAAAACCATTCTTCCCAGAGAGGTAGCAAAAAAATTAGGTGAAATGATTGTAGAGAGTCATAGTTGAAAGTCCTCCGTACGACACATTACCAGCTTCTCCGATAATGTCTTCCTTTCTCTTTGTTAAGATACAACGTCTGCGGCTCAATGCATCGTGCACGATTTAGTGCTAAACCGACATCAGTCGGGAAAAAACTGTGACATGTGCCCCACCGACTCCGATAACTTACACCTCGATGATTAAACGAACTCCCAAGTGCTTAACAGGGTCACGAAACGACAATGAAAAGGTGGCACCAGGTTATTTCGATTAAAAGTCAGACATCCGATTGGTTAATGTTGCATGAGCCAATAGAAATTGAGCAGAGATTCATATCAGTTACATTATCTCATAGGATAGCCTAAAAATTTCGAGTATATTTGTCTCGCTAGAACTACCACAAGGTAACAAAAAAGTGACCTGTAAATATTATTTCAGCTTAAAAGCTTATAAACTGAGTGTTTAGATCTCATCAACTGCTTAAATATTATGGATTTAGTTGTGTTCTCGTACCCTCACCTCAGCCGTCCGCCTTGCACGGGAGGTGCATTCGCAAGACACTCATTAGCCAAGCCTGGAGTAGTGAGTGCCCTTTTAATCCAAACGGCCATATTGTTGTGCTCTCGATCCCCTCGTTCTAGAGATGAGTTAGGCTTATCAAGATGGTAGCAGATTGTATTTATTAGACAGTTAAGGTAAATAAGGATGCTTTGGGAGGTAACAAAACAGAATTTCTCTAACACTTATCAGTACATATTGGTTCTGATATCACTTCTATGGCTGGAAGAACGGTATCAAAACTGGTGGAAAAGTTTATGAACCTCTTTTGTGATTTTCCCTTCCCTTCCCCATGACAATGTATGCAAGATGCAATTCCTTTCATCAAGCGATCCACGAAAGCCGCCACAATTATGCCCTATTTATTTGTACATCCAAAGGTGACATTATTAGTGGTTCCGGTGGTTTTGCGGAACTTGTACTACACAAACAGATCCGCATCAGCGTCTTCAACAGTCACAGTTTCTTGGCGCACTTCAACACCCGCTTTCTGCTTCTCCATGGGCGGTTGCGATCGGTCGATTATACGCCGGCCTCGGTGCCATCTTGGTGGCTCTTTTGACTTGGCAATCGCGCGCTTCAACTTTGCTTCATGCGCTAACGCCTCCACCTCCTTTTGACGTTGTCTTGCCAAGAGTCTATTGTGTTCATCTACCGTTTTTTTGGCCTTTAACACTTGCATGCGACTGTATTTACCAAGGCTACGCGCCAAGTCATCTGTGGCTGATTCGAGAATCTTCAGCATCATCAGAGTGTCTAGTCGCGTGTTTCCATCAGTGCCAAATATTCTGCAGTAGAGTCTGTGAATTTGTTCATGGAGAATGTCAAGCAGTTGGCTTACTGTCGGCTTCTCCACATCCTCATCCATTGCGCGTCTAGTTCTTGATTCTCGCAGCCACGGAGGATCAAATTGGTCGATGCTGCCCAGTGAAAAAGCATCGTAACGTTCCAACAGGGTGAATTCCTTTATTTGCTCTCTTGACACCTCAACATCCGAAATCTCCCTCATCAACGCAGCAATTATCTCCTCCTCCCGTGCAATGTGTTCGTCCACAGTTGTGCGTTCAGCGTCAAGCACTTTCTGCAGTTTTGCAGCTTTCAAACGCAGTCGCTCACACGCTTCCTCCTGCTCTTGAACATTCTCGATCAATGTCAGATTATTTGACTCCAATTCGGCGAGGATGTCAACTAAGTCTTGAGGGCTACGAAAGAAAGCATTAATCGCTGAATCCGGGACTTCTTCCTGATCTTTGGATATCGAAGTCGGCTCGACAAACCCAGCACCAGCATCAGCATCCTCTGTCATAAATGTTTTCGCGACGCGCTGATCAGCAGCTCTAGTCGCCTCCAAGGTCTTTGCTACCGAGTCGAGAAAGTCTTTGTACGTACTCAAACGCAAAAACTCCTCTTCCAAATTAATGCACTCTGCATTCATGTGTGCCAACTTGTAGCGCGTTCGTTTGATCTTATCCGTAATTTGGACTCTTTTTCGAGTCTCTGAATCTGCCTTCTTAATCGCCTCTGCGGTTCGCAGACAAATCGCCTTCAAATACTTGTCGTGCTCATCGTGTCTTATGATAAGCTCCTTCTCTTCGTTCGCCAGAAATGCTGCCTCATCCTCCAGCATCTTGTTTAGCCTCGCGATTTCCCCTTCCTTTGTTCGGATGGCCAAATTGATCATGCAAACCTTTCGGCGACCGTCAATAAAGGCATTGACCTGGTCGAAATTCTCATCGTAGGCTTCAGGAGAGCGTGGTGCTAGACCGGACGAGGGAGACCCTGGAGTCGCACCGCCAGCACCAGTAGTTGCAGAACGTGCTATCGAAGCACGGTTGATCGGTTCATCGTGTGTCAGCTGCGGCAATAGGGACTCGTCGTAAACACTCTCCTTCTGCGAAGAGTCGAGAGAATTTGACTCTGTTCGCTTACTGGTTCCACTTTCACCGGATGAAACACCCTGCTTCTCCCCAGGTGCATCCTTCAACTCCCTCGACACTTCTGTATCAATTCGTGTCTGTTCCAACAACGGAACATTATGCTTACGCCGTGGTTGATAGGTCAGTTCTGGAGGTCCAAACAGCCTCCCATGTGCGTGCACCTCCTTGAGATTCTCCTCGTAGATGAGTTCCTTTAAATTATTGTGTGCTGTGAAAGGTAGGCGATACTGACGTGGAACTTTGTGAGCAACATTTCCAGGTATACGACAGCGTTCCAATTCACTTTTGCGCCTCTCGTCTGCTTGTCTTCGAAGCTCCTTGATGCGCTCATTTTTGATCATGGTAAAGGTGTTGCTTTTGGGCCACGGTTCCAGCATGTAGGCTGGGGCAGGTCGCTTCTCTAGCAATGCCTTTTCTCCACTCGCCTTAGGTGCCACCAACTTCTCCATGTAGCGTATAAACGGTGCTCTGGCGGGATAACGAATTCGCACCTCAGGTTTAACCTCCTCGGGGACCTCCGCAGTAGGGTTGAGAGAGGAGGGCGAGGCCATCTTATTGCTCATGTTAGGCACCACGCTTCGCCTGGCCTCCAGTCCTTCCATGCCCACCTCGTGTCAATAGCTCAAGGTCAAAGGAATATAGATTTCTCCCCTTGGATGTTATTCAAAATGCAAAACGGCTGGCAAAATGGAAAACAAATGAGATAATAGGCATCTTTAGAAGCGACTCCCTTTAAAATTTTTAGTGTTTTAAGGAAATGAAGAGAATGATGGACACGGAATAAGTCAAACTCTTGGAAAAGCTATAAATATTAAAATAAGTGCTTTTGTTATGCAAGTTTCGTCGACTTTTTTGCTTGGGCACCACACCATGTTTACTTTTTTATGTAGGTAGTCCTTTTTTAAAGATGGAGCTTGTTTAAGTTAAGCCGCGACTTCCAAGGGAATGGCGTATTTGCCTTGGATTAGTTTTCCTCAAATCCAGACGTCTGAAGGGGAATTTTTGGTTTGAGGCTTTGTCCCTCTGTCGTTTCGAACCCTCTTCATCCCCTTGACACAGATTCTCTTTACTTGTAGAACTAACAATTCGCCTTGCTACAAAGTGATTCCCTAAATATTTCTGCATTTGGGACAATTTACCTGCTCTTAACTGCTTCCTCTTCAATAGGGACATTAAAATGAAGTCCTACGTGATTTCGCCTCCTACCGGTGTCACATAGAAGACAAAATCATAAATGTGGAAGCGCTACTTCGTAGACATTTAGAATTACAAATGAGGAGCCATTTATTATTTTAATTAAATGCGTGAGCATTTGGTTCCGCAAAGTCTTAATTTTTTCGACTTGTCCTACTTACTCACGATAGTAAGTAGTATGTTCTCCAACCTTGGATTGGATTTAACGGGATTCTCGTGAGGAATGCGTAAGCTACTACTTCATAACGGATACCGAAGTTGCAAAAAGCACGGTCATGGGATAAAGACAATGGAACTACACCATTTTTATCCGTGGACTGAGGGAGAGGAGAAGATGGGCTTCTTTTGTTCCCAACAGAGATACTGTCGTCTTCGTGTTACTGCATGGGGACCTAAATCCGTCTACATAGTGAAATATTCTTAAATGTTTATAACTTCTGAGGAGTCTAAAAGGGAAAGGACAAAAAGGGAGGAGACATGACACAGGACGCTGCAAGTCTTTGTGTTTCTGCAAGGTTACGTCTTCTCCGCTCACAAAGCAACAGCTTTCATGCGACCGATTGTCACATGTCACTTTCTACAAGGTCTTGAGTTCCATGGCAGCAAATGACAACAGAGGCGCGGTAAAAGTGGCAGTGAAAGTGGACTTCTTTCTCTATCCCCTTCGCCTTGATAGGTGTAACTCACCTTCCATCGTAGGCTAAAGTCCAACTTCATCCGCTAAAATGCGACTCTGCAATAATTTTCTCCCTGCTTGAAGCTGAGTGTTTGCCACTGAAACTAAAAATTGACCATGAAGTGAGTATTCTCTTTACACCAGCCTGTCTTTCTTTAACAATGACTCCATCGATTCGCCTTAAATAACTTCGTAAGGGGATAACCAACGCCTCACTGCAAGGGTGGTGATTTGACACGCAAGCGAGAAAACGGACGTAAACAGTGAAGCTGTTCGCCACTAAAATTTGGGCGTTTCAGTTCGAAGCCAGTTGGGTGAGAAGAACAGGTGGGCGAGAGGTGGGATGAGAATGGGCGAGGCCGTCTTCATTAACCTTCTTTCTCATCAACACGATGAATGTGGAATTCTGTGAGCCAGAACCGTGGTCCACGGAGGTGATTGGATTGATCCCCTTTACGGAGAACTTCCTCATTGTCTCCATTCTCATAACTTGGCTGTGTGTAATGCTGGCACTCATCCTTTCGCGTTGGCTCCGGGCGAAGTGCTTCAGCGAGAATGTGAGTCCACCACCAGTCGCTTTGCAACACATGAGAGGTCAAAGGAGGCGTGAAATTCGTTTTGAGAACACTTTTGTGCGGATTTTCATTTGTTTTATGCCTTGCTGCAGTCATTTCGTGAGATTTATGCAGGTTTTTATTTTAAAAATGGGTGGGTGGAAAAATTCAGGCTTTCTTGTCTAAATTTTGTCGCTTTTTAAGGACCCTAAAGGAGTATTTCTGTAAAACCAAACCACCATTTCGCCGTCCGTCCAGCACATCAGACCAGGCACACAGTGGACGCATGAGCGCTAACACTCGGCTCGCATTCGCAACTGAGAGGCCTACAAAAGTGCAAATTTTAATGGAATACACTAAAGGCAGTTGTTGGTGCTAGCCCTTACATTAAGCAACCAAAGAATGAGTTCATGGC